GCTATTGATTTGTACACCTTTATCAGTGACAAGTAACGTTACTCGATTAATTATTAAGATTCTAAAACTTGTAATGAGAAACGAATTGCATGTTGAAGCGACGGCTCTTTATCAATGTGTATATAGATATTTCACGAGACCAACTCATCTAAAACATGAATGTAAACCGTGGTACATTGTCGCGGTTACATCTCGTTTACGCACCGCGCTTTTAACTATCTATCGATTTCGTGTAATCTGTTCCATTTTCGGGGAGAGAAATTTGTGCGACTTCGGCGTTCACGGCGTAATTCGCTCCGTCGTTCTTCGCAATTTGAACGGGCAGGAAGTAAAGAACGTCGCTTACTGCATTTCACGGTATTTTACATCGCGTACGGGAGTGTCCGAAATTTCGCGCGATCGATTTTCACGAGTGAGTGCTGTGAGTGTAAGTGCAACAAGAAAATCTGAGAGGAGGAGCAGGTCTAGGCGGCATCGGGCAACGGCAGAGAAATCGTAAGGTAAGTGTCTTATAATACATTTTTGTTATTTGCTACTTGTGCAAAATGAATCATCTGTTCTGTGCTTTTATTTTATTTATTCAAATGGTTCCAACGAGCTCTCGAATAAGTGTTAGAGACAAAACCATACGTATAAAATTTTTTTAGTTCATATTTAAAAGGAAGACTTTCAGTATTCTATACATATAACTGTTTTAATAAATACCCATTTTTTAAATATAAAATATAAAGTATATTTAATACAATAGTTTCGACTTTGCATAATTAGTCTATAATAATCGTATACATTTTTGTATTGCTACAGTTTAACATATATAGTTAGCGATGTACAACTTTGCTGTTGCGACTCGTATCAGTGAGTGACATATTACTTTTTATTTTAAAGTGACGTTGCGCATATAATTACTTCTCTCTCTCTCTCTCTCTCTCTCTTTCTCTTCGCGTGTGTACGAATTCTTAAAAATACACAATGCTTGACCACAAACAGCGCGCGCGAAGCGCGCGTTCTGTCATGTCTTACAGTATTTCTAAATTGTAAACCTTCATTTAGGCCCGGTCTACAATGAGTTGTTAGTCGTTAGTCAGAAGGCGGAACTATATGTCGGTCCTTTTTCTTCCACCCAGAAAGGAAAAGGATCAACATATAGTTGCGACTTCTGACTAACGACTAACGACTCATTGTAGACCGGGCCTTACTCTGAACCTGAAAGAGAAGTGAAGCACATCGCGCTTCGAGAAAATCAATCGGCATTGCGGAGAAGGGCCTAAACTGTTCGATATTAACGACATTCGCGCTGGTAACATCTCTTTTTTTAGTAAGGGACAAGCGCGCGCTACGCGCGCGCCATTTGCTGTCTCTATAAATTCGCATGGTTTGACAGCTGCAAATAACACGACTGAAGTATGTCGTATCGCACAATGAATTAAAAGTTTGATGCGACACAATGTTAATTCCGAATTTTTATTATGTTTAGACAT